GCATCCACACAGTCCTGGGCCCTTAGATGGCACAATTACCCTTAGTGTCCACCCTATCCTGGGTACCCAAGTGGCATGACAACATGTAATGTCCTCACCATCCTGGGCCCCAGAATGGCAAAATGACATATAGAGTCCACACTGTCCTAGGCCCATGGATGGCACAATGACACATAGCATCCACACCATCCTGGGTACCCAGATGGCACAATGACTCGTAGCATCCACACTGTCCTTGCTCCCTGGATGACACATAGTATCTACACCATCCTGGTTACACAAATGGCATGATGACACATAGTGTCCATGCCATCCTGGGTACCCAGATGGCACAGTGACACATAGCATCCACACCATCCCGGACCCTTGGATGGCACAGTGACATACGATGTTCACACTGTCCTGGGCACCCAGATGGCACAATGACACATAGCATCTATACTGTCCTGGCCCCTGGATGTTGAAGGTAAAGATCAGTGGTAGATAGGAAAGGGATTTAAGCCTCCCCGCCATGCCCCCACCCCCCAGAGGCATATCAGGTGGGCAGGCTGTGGTGCTTATTGGCAAGGTCACTGCATGTTTTAAGATAACTTCAGGAGGGATCAGCAAAGTAGAGGCAGCAGAGACTAGAAATGGGGGTGAGACCAGAAGGAGTGACCTCAGAAGCCATCAGTGATGCATTCTGGTTGGTAGCTTCATACTAGATTATATGTATATACATTATTTTATTTTAAATCATATTACATAATCCACACCTTGCAGACCCACAGGCATGGGGAAGATACATCGGCCTTTTCCTGGGGGGCGTAGATAACAGCCAACTGAGATACTGGGTGGCAACTGATAATTGACAGGACCCCCCCGCCGAGTTGCAAATCAGAAACCCATGAACCGCTATGGTCTTTCTGAAAACAACCTGAAGGTCTCAGGGATCAATTGAAAAGTGTTAGATTTTGTTCAGAATTCAGCAAGGCACCAGATGGATTGTCCAGACCACTTTGTATAGTGGATTGTTTTTTAAATGTGGTTTACAGAGATGCACTTGAAGAAATTTCTGTGCTCCACACAGCTTATTTGTTAACACACAGACATGTATATATTCTTAATAATTACAACACAATCAACACTGTCTCCAGAAAGCAAGGGTCACCTTGAACATGCTCCTGATTTTCCTTTGGCTGCTAAACTTCCATATAAAGATTTTTCTTTTAAAATTAAAATGCTATCCTCTGTGATCCAGTTTTTGGAGCAGGTGTTAAATCCAGTCACTGTGTTAGATGTTGGCCTACCTGGGCATCTCATACTCAGCCACCCTCTGAGTTCTCTCAGCATTGTGGATGCCACACTGCAAAGTTAAGGCCTGAGCGTCTGGTCGTCAAAGTGGACTTGGGAGTCACGGCTTTCGGAACTTGAACTCTCCCACTTGCCTGAAGATCCACTGTGACTTGAGCATTGGCATCTATTCTGACGCCAGTCCTGGGTGTGGGGCCAGCAGGGAGAGCCAGTGTACCCTCTTATCTGTCTGCAAGCCTGTTATCGACTTTATGTTCTTGAAGGAGAAGCCAGGGCATCTAAGGTTGATGGATTTGCCGATAGTGGCTCAGCAAGCTGGCAGGGAACAGGGAGTAAAACCAATCTCCTGGCTCCGTTTCCCGTGCACACACCCGTTACCTTGCATTGCCTCCACTAGAAGCCAAGAGTCCATCTCAGGGAACCTGATCAGAACACTGGTGGAAGGTGATTCTAAAGCCACAGAAGCATCGAGAAAGCTATAAAGATGTATTATATATGATCGCATTTACCAACTATAAATAGGGAAGATGCAAGGAGGAAGATAGAGACTTTGTGAGTCCATTGGGTCATGAGAAATAGAAACTGCTTAATGTTTCATTAAAAATGGATTTTCATAAATTGCACTTTGGTATCTTTGGGCGCAAGACAGCATGCAGGGACTGAGGCGTTGTTATTCGTGACTCTTGGTTATTAATAATTTGAACTGTTATTGAACCAGTACATCAACAGGCCTGCTCTCCTTGTGAATGGGGCACTCCCCTGTGCGCTGGCTCAATCCAAGTGCATAAAGAACCCACAGCACTCGTCCACAGCAGCACCGAGGCTCTAGGGACCACGGGTAACTGAGACACCCATCCTATAGTAGATGCTCTCAGAGTCCCAACCTCAAGGACGCTTGCAGAAAGGCCCAGGAGGACCTCCCAGCCCAGCCTGCACAGGCCCCTCGTTTAACAGGTCAAGGGATCTGAGACACTTGCCCATGCTTGTGAGCTAGTTGGCAGCAGAGCCTGGCCCTGGCTCTTGGTTCAGTGATATTTGTATACCTCTGCATTACACTCAGGGTGACAGTGTGTGAGAGCTCTTGAGAGACTACATGGCTCCTCCAGTAAGGCTTATGGAGGACGAAGGCGGAGGCTGGAGGCAGAGGCCAGAGGCGGCTCCCAGCACCAGGGCAAGAGAACAGGAAGTAACTGAGCTCCGAACTGAGGAGGGTGATTTGCAGCCAGGATCTTTCGTTTGACTCCAGGCAGAAGGGGGTGACTGGAGCAGCAGAGTGGAGGCCAAGAGGGGAGAGACGCACCATGTACCTCCCTCCTTGCTGATGCCATGGCAGCTAGAGTTTGGGGTCCTCCAAAGCCCGTGGCCACATGTGTCATGAGACGCCTGAGGCCTCCCAGCATGTGCACACAACATGTACATCCCCACCCACGTGGCCCAGGAATGGAGGGTCAGGCGAGGTAAAACTGGGTACAAAAATCTCACACTACGGAGCCATAGCCGTGGCCAAGTTCAGATTCACGCAGCACTCCAGTAATGTATCCACACGCCACCAGAAGCTTCCTATGTAAACTTAAAGCACCTCCAGATGAGGCCACACATAGTCCTGCCACACCCTCTGGGGCAGCTCGGTGGGCCCACAGCACACAATGCCTATCCCAAATAAGCACAGTGCTGCTTTGGCTTCTTCCTAGCCAAAACAAAGCAAAAATAAGCAGCTCCTGCCTCTCACTGATGCTAGGAAGAAGAATTAAACTCTTCTCCTTGGATCCACTTCCTGGATCCCTTTCCAGGAACTGCAGAGACTTTTACCAGCACGGAGAAGCAGAATCAGGCACCATTTAGACTTTCCCAAGGGTCTGTCCCTAACTGAGACCTCCCCCAGGGGTTGTCCCTAACTGACACCTCCCCCTGGAGTCTGTCCCTAATTGAGGCCTCCCCCAGGGGTCTCTCCCTAACTGAGGCCATCCCTGGGAGTCTGTCCTTCCTCCCCAGCTGACTTTATTGTCTCACCTTCCTCATCTTCAGACACCATGCAAGAAGCAGCAGAATGAAACCTGAGAGAGAGGCCTGGCCAAGCAGCCCTTCCTCTGTGCACCCTTCTGCCAGCATGGCAGCAGAGGAGGAAGCTGACGCCTTTAGGACACGGAGAGAGGGCTTCCTGGGGGAGAAGGGGCAGCAGGATGTAGTGAACTGAGCCCCAGAACAGGAGCATATACTGAATCAGGTGGGCAATGAAATCTGTCTCCCCCTTATGGGTCTCGAGCAAGTCAGACCCCCTATTTGGGGGCAAAAAGCATCATTTCTCTCCCTCATCTGTCGTGTTGTCAGCCGGTTCTCACTCTTGACCTTAGCAGACAGGGAATAAAGGGTTCCAGGAGTCTAGTTAATGGGGAAGAAAGGACTACAGGCTGGAAACTTCTGTGTGGCTCTTTACTCTCACTCAAAGCCATCTGAAGTGGGATGGTCCACTCTCATGGAGAGCATGTCACTGAGCAGCCCCCCCACCACCACCTTGCAGCCCACCCTTGAGGACCCAAGGACTCCATGACACCTAGCCACCTAGGTAAACACTGCAAAAGTACAAATGGGTGAGAGTCCTCTTAGGAAACCAAAGCTTAAAGCCTAAAACTTGACAAGGGCCTTGCATCCAGACAGATGTCTCTGAGTCTCAGTTTCCACATCAGTAAAGAGATGATGATACCTGCCTCCTGGCGTACTGTAGACACATGGTGTCTGCACTCACAGGTGTTGCCTATGTCTGGCTCAAAAGTAAAACCGGTTTCCTCCTTCCTCTCATGCCCCAAACACTGGAGCCATAGTCCCTGCACAGGCAACACGGCCAACTTATGGAGGGCGGCAGGGGCAGGCTTGGGGTCCTGTGGCTGCGTTGCCCTGAGACGAATGGTTTGGAAGTAGGAGCGAATCCTGAGAGACCAAGAAAACTCACATGTGCTGCCCCAGTTGCTTTCTCTTTAGTGGGCAGCCTGAGCCGCGAGCAGCCCATCTGGCAATGATTGATTGGGGCCATCTGGGTAGCTAGGGCTTGCTTCTACCGCATGGGCAGAAGCTGCCTGAGAAGGCCTTCCTCCCTCAGGGATGCCCAGGGTAGATTTCATGATGGGCCGGGGCTGCTGTTGGAAGAGGCTGCGGTGGGCTCCCAGGGACCGTCTGCAACCCTGACCTCACCACAAAGACCCAGATAACTGGGAAGCAGGTTGACAAAGGCCACCGGGTGGCCAGTGCCCCTCATCTCACCCACTCAGGTCTGGCCTCAAGTCACTAACTGACAGTACGAAGCACTTTGTGGTGACCGTCGCTCTGCGGAGGGTCTTGGGAGCCTGTGACCTGGGGAGGAGACAATGTTGCCATCAAGCCTGGTGCATGGCAGGCTGGCTGTAAAGACGCCATCTCCACATGGTTTGAGGAGCCTCTGCTTTCCTCTCTCAGCTTCTGAAGGGTTTCATTCCTCCCTCACTCTCAGCCCAGAGGCAGATTTTCCTTCCTCTGAATGTTTTTGTGAGAACCGTTGACTGTTTTCAAGTTGGAACTATGTGAGAAATTAACTTTTTTTGCAATGTTTCTAAAACAGCCCCAAACAGCACCCTCACTGGTTACTGCTCAGCCTGAGGGCGGAAACCTTCCAGCTCTTCCCAGCAAGCAGCTGAGCCATGGCAGGTTTGGTGATGGCCCTGCCCCTCCTGTTGCAGGTGTTTCCGGCCAACACTGATGCCACTGAGGTGGTCCTGAACCGGCTGCATGCACCACTTCTGACGCGGTTTGTGAGGATTCGCCCCCAGACGTGGCACGCGGGCGTGGCACTGCGCCTGGAGCTCTTTGGCTGCCGCGTCACAGGTGAGGGCTCCACAGCAGGAGCTGACCGTGACCATCACCTCCTGACCCCAGCTCCCTGCCCCCAGCCCTCTGCAGAATGCAAACAGCACCGTATCACCTCCCCAGAAGTGACTCGAAGCCTCAAGTCCCACCAGAGTTTGTTCATTCATTCCTGCATTCTATATTTATTGTCTACTGGCAGACACTCACTGAATGCTAACAATCACCTAAGGTGTGTTGTCTTTTATTGTCGCTATGAGGACCTGTGAGGGCAGTGTCTCCTTACTTGACACATGAGGAAGCCCTGTCACCCAGCCAGTCAGTGGCAGAGACAGAGTTGAGGCAGTCTGAGCCCTAAAGCCCCTGCTCTTAACACTCTCACCACCTCAGCTGGAGCCAAGAGCTCTGCCTGGTGCTCTGGTTATGTGGGAACACCAAAGGTCCAGCTCTGCTGGGCACACAGGCATGCTGGGCAGATGCGTTCATAAACTCATAAATAAATGTGAACTGCTGCCCACATGCCATGCCCATGTCCCTCACTTTCTCTTCTGGTCTCTCTGGTCACCAAGCCTTCAAGTAAATCCTTTGACCAACAGTTGAAAAATAACCTATTGGGTACAGTGTTCACAATTTGGGCTATGGTGACCCTAACAGCCAGACTTTACCACTCTGTGTGCTAGAAATGTGCATAATGGTGCAGTGGCTCACACTTGTAATCCCAGCACTTTAGGGAGTGGAGGCGAGAAGATTGCCTGAGTCTGGGGGTTTGAGACCAGCCTGGGCAACTTGATGAGACTTCGTCTCTATAATAAATCAAAAAATTAGCTGGATGTGGTGGCATGCATCTGTAATTCCAACTACTTGGGAGGCTGAGGCAGAAAGATCACCTGAGCCCACCAGGCCAAGGCTGCAGTGGCCGTGAGCATGCCACTACACTCCAGCCTGGGCAACAGAATGAGACTCCTCAAAAAAAAAAAAAGAAAGAAAGAAAGAAAAAAAAAAATGTGCAGTTGTACCACCTAATATATAAAAAGGTTTTTAACCTGCAAAAATAAGTAGCTTAAAGTTATCACATCATAAGTGGCGGAGAGGCTGTTAGACAGACTCTGAGCCTGGGCTCTGACCATGATGCCTACATGCTCTGTGGACAGTTACTGCAGAGAAGCTAGAGCCGGCTGGCTGTGACATCTGGGGTCTTGGGCAGCTCTCACTAATAGGGCGGCCCCTTGTTGGAGGGCAATAGCTGTGACCTTTCATGCCCCCCACCCCCCACAGATGCCCCCTGCTCCAACATGCTGGGCATGCTCTCAGGCCTCATCACGGACTCCCAGATCTCTGCCTCGTCCACCCGTGAATACCTCTGGAGCCCCAGCACCGCCCGCCTGGTCAGCAGCCGTTCCGGTTGGTTCCCGCGGATCCCGCAGGCACAGCCAGGCGAGGAGTGGCTTCAGGTGGACCTGGGGTCACCCAGGACAGTGAAGGGCATCATCATCCAGGGCGCCCGTGGAGGAGACAGCATCACTGCCGTGGAGGCCAGGGCATTCGTGCGCAAGTTCAGAGTCTCCTACAGCCTTAACGGCAAGGACTGGGAGTTTGTCCAGGACCCCAGGACCCAGCAGCCAAAGGTAGGCCCTTTTTGGAGGCCCCTGCAGCCTCGCCCCAAGCAGGGAGGCTGAGCAAGTGCAGGAGCTGGCAGTGTGGATTTCCCATCTGCCCAGCTGGTGTCAAATCCCCAGAGCCCAGTCCCACCAGCGTCCATGAACAATCACACAATGCAGGTTCTGTGCTACATGCCTGATTAGACCCCTCAACCCCCACAGCATCTCCACAGTAGGTCTTGCTACTCCCACTGAATAGATGATGACACTGAGGCTGTTATGTGGCCAGAGCCTCATGGTTTGCCTGTGGGAGAGCCATGATTCAGAAGCCACGAGCTAGGCTCTGAGACCAGGCCTGACCACATCTCCACACTGCCTTTTATAGAGGCCCTACCCTGCTGCCCTCTGCAGATAGTTTCCAAAGGGGATGTGGTTTTGGAGATCAAACTATAGAAACTAGGGGCTCACTTCCAAAAATAGCTCTGTTCTCCTGGGTATTGCTGCATTGCTTGTGTTTTCCTAGTCTCCACTGCTAAATCTTCCTGCCTCTCACTGAGGCCAGGAGAAGCCAGAGACACTCATTCTAGGTCTGACGTTTGGGCCAGTAAGCCCAGTCCACCATCAATGCCGGACACCAGGAGGCCGAGAAAGGAGGGGACGTCAGGCCTCGTCCCTCTCCAGACTCGTCTCCAGGTAGGCTGCACCCTCTGATCCTCCTTATGAATTTATGAGTTATCTTGTCTCAGCAGAATAGGGCCCTAAAAGACAGGGAGGGCTGTGTGTCCGGCTCAGCACCTGCTGAGCAAACATCCCTGTTCTCCAAACAGAGGCCAGGGCTATGTAGGGGCTTTGTGACGCTGATGTGAACTCCAGCTCCCAATCTCAGAGGCTTGGCAAGGCTCAGGGCTTGGTAACCAGAGCCTTCCATAGATGCACCAGAAGTTGGACCACCAGTACCCTCCGACAGTGTTGATCCTTGCTCTTCTTCGGAAAGGAGTTGGTCTTTCCCGGGTCAGAGCCTGCCCACCCTGAGACAGTGCTCTCTTCCAGAATTGTGGGCCTAGAGCCTCCTGCAGCCCCCCAGGGGCGAGTCAGCCCCTTACAACTGTCCTTCCCAGATAAGGAAGGGTACCCTGGGTTGTTCCCCCACACCAGGTCAGCCCCTGTCTATGATTTTAGGTACTGGAGTCTACATGAGGCTCTTGGACAGGATTGCTTTCCCTAGAATAAGGTCTGGGAAACAGTCTCAAACCATCAGTGTGCAGCCAAGGGGCACTCATTAGCCCAGAAGAGGGGGTTCATTTTCCCTGCAGGCTTTCGGTGAGCCGGGAGCTACCACCCAATCCCATGCCGGGAGGAACAGTGGCAGGCCGGCTGTCCCAACTCTCTCCATCAGGGCCCTGGTGTCTGGACCTCCCCAACTCTGGGCTTTCATACATTAGAAAAAGAAGCATCCCTTTTTCAGTAAACCCAAGGACTCAGAACGGTCCAGACAGTCCAAGCTGCCTCCCCTCTCTCTAGCCAAAGCCGGTGGAATCACGTTTAGAGCTAGTTTCTTCCCTGAGCCCCCATTCCTGTCCCTGGATGACAGCTAGATCCTGGAGGTCACCACCCTGGCCCCTTCCTATTTCTCATAGTCCTGGTCCCAGACCACTTTCCCCATGATTAGAGACCTTGGTCCTGTGGCTGGGGATGTCCCTGTGTCTGTGAACCTGCTAGGAAGCCACCTTCCTGGTGGGATGTAGGTGGGGCAGGAGGGGGAGAAAGGGAAGAATGGGAGAGGGCAGGAGGGGGCAGTCCTGCCCAGAAGGACTGAGTGTCCTCTTTCTGCAGCTGTTCGAGGGCAACATGCACTATGACACCCCTGACATCCGGAGGTTCGATGCCATCCCAGCGCAGTTTGTGCGGGTGTATCCCGAGAGGTGGTCGCCAGCAGGGATTGGAATGCGGCTAGAAGTACTGGGCTGTGACTGGACAGGTGAGGCCCCACTCTGCCCTCGGTCTCGGCCGCACTGGCCTCAGGGATGCCCAGGGTGGGGGGTAGCCATCCCCACAGACCCTGCACATTCTCAGCACTGCAACCCCTGGACAGACCCTGCACAATGGTGGCACTGCAACCCCTGGACTGAGGCCCGCTCCCCGGGGGATACTCTGCATCTCTCTAAGGGCGCCTTTGCGCTCTCAAGTTCTAGTCTCTCAGAAGCACATCATGGCCACACACCACCCACCCAATTCAATTAGAACCTGGCACTTTAGGCCAGAGGGCTGCGGCTGTTGATTTAGGGAAGAAAAACCCTCAAGATAATAAAGTAATCAGCTTATGTCTGGATCTGGCCTCCAGATGTCGGCTGGGAGACTCATTTTCCTCTCAGAGCCACATCTGTACCAGGCATTTGTGTGCTAGGGAGGAACCATGTTTCAGGGAAGCTGATGGGAGCCGGACCCCTGCCCGGTATCTTGCTCAGCCCTACCCCTCTGGGTGACATGGGCCAGGGGGCACCTCTGATCCTTCCTGGAGAGGATAAGGCTAGGTTACATGGGCCTGAGGGCACCTCTGATCCTCCCTGGGGAGGGCAAGGTGGGATGACATGGACCTAGGGCACCCCTGATCTACCCTTGGGAGAGTGAGGCTACAGGGTGCACCCCTTTTTCCTTGTCTCCGAATCAGGCCCTTCCTCCCTGCCCCACCCAGGGCTTCCTGACTGCCAGAGGAGCTCAGCAAGCCCCCAGGGCCCAGCCCAATCCTATGCAGGCAGGAGCAGTGGAAAACCAGCTGTCCTGACTCTCTCTACCAGGGCCCAGGTGTCCTCATTTTCCTGTCTGTGCCAACCTGTCCCAGCTCAACCAGCAGAAGGGCACAAAGCACTCAGGGCAGGTCAGAGAAGTGCCCTGGCTCCCAGGTGGGATGCACAGCCCAGTGCTGGTGACAGAGGTGCCTACGGAGGCCCAAGTCACCTCCGACCTGTGTGCAGGTCTTCCTAGGGAGAATATCCTATAGGAAAGCACCTTGCTCCCCATCAGAAGCTGAGTTCCCGCAACTGACTGGATGTCACCTGTCCTCCAGTACCAGCTGGCTTGGTGAACAGCTGCCCTACTGGGAATTAGCATCATGGCAAGTCTGGCACTTCTAGGCCCATGGCTTTCACACGTTTTTGACCATGATCTGCAATTTAAAATGAATTTCCATCACAACCTGCCTCCCTTAGAAGCGCTCATGCAGGTGTGTAGATGAGTACGGTCATGAACAAGTGCTTAGACTTGAGACAGATGGCCAAGTTTGAGTCCTGCCTCTGCTCACTGGTGCAGTATCAACACCAAGTATCTCAGTCTCTCAGAGCCTGGATTTTCTTAGTTGAAAATGGCAGTGGCAGTCGTATAGCCATATCCCCTAGGGTCATTCTCAGGTTCAGATAACATAATACACGTGAAGGATTCCAGCTGCTGCCTGCCACCCAGCTGATCCATTATACTAAGTGAATGTAACCAAAGCAAAAGGCTCCCAGAGCAGTGCTCACTTCAGAATACATACTCCATAGTTTTTGTTGTTGTTGTTGTTGTTGTTGTTGCTTTGAGTTGGAGTCTCACTCTGTCACTCAGGCTGGAGTTCAGAGGCACACTCACAGCCACTGCAGCCTTGACCTGCTGAGCTCAGGTGATCCTTCCACCTCAGCCTTCCAAGTAGCTGAAATTACAGGCACACGCCACCACACCTGACTAATTTTTTTATTTGTTGTAGAGATGAGGTCTTGCCAAGTTTCCCAGGCTGGTCTCAACCCTGTGGGCTCAGGCAATCCTCTCACCTCAGCCTCTCAAAGTGCTGGGATTATAGGCGTGAGCCCACAGGGTTGAAACCAGCCCATACTCCATAGCTTTAAACTCTGGTCATGACCTGTTCAACAGGTTCTACAACCCCTGAGGAATATGCCATGTAGTCTGAAAAAAAAAAAAATCACAGACCTAGGCCAAATCCTCTTTCATAGAGAGGGAAAGCTGCTTGCCAGAGGCTACTCAACTGTAGGCACTCCACCTTCCCTCTTTTCCTCTGGCCTTGGTGCTGCCCCTGTACTGCTGGCCTACTTGGTGGCTGCTGGACAGTTGCTGCTGACCTCCCCTCCTGGCTTCCCCAGCCAGCCCTGAATTGTAGCAGTGCTGGTCAGAGGCTAGGCTTTCATTTCAAAGCTTGGCCAGCCCTTTCTGGGAAGATCAGAGTTGAGACACGCACACCCTCCCACCCCCACCCCACGCCCGGCCTTCCTCCTTTGAAGTGTCTGACATCTGGTTTTAATTTTGGGGAGCACTGCTGTTTGCTGGGCAGCTACCCCAGAGCACCCGGCACAACACACACCAGCTCAGCACACACAGGCCTCCTGCCGCCAGTTCTCCACCTTTGTTCATACACCCTTTCTGCTTGGTCCTGGGATCCATAGGAATCCACGGCCCTAAGCTCCTGGGGTCCATGGGAGTTTACGGCCCACGGCCCCTGGGGTCCACAAGAGTCCAGATCCATGGGAGTCCATGGTCCTTGGCCCCCAGGATCTGTGGGAGTCCACAGCCCTTTGCCCCCGGGATCTTTGGGAGTCCATAGCCCTCAGCCCCCAGGGTCCATGGGAGTCTACAAGATCTGTGCCAGCTAGCTGAGCTGTGCCCTCTACTACCTCACTTTTCCAGAAACTGTCCTCCTTGGGTTGTGAGGCTTGGTCCAACCTTGTCTGCTTTCACCCTCAGTTCCTGTCTCTCCCTGCCCCCCAAGGATAGCAGGACAAATCTGGGCCGGGTCATATCAATGGGCCGCCTCACCTGTCGCTGGTTTGTTTGTGTTTCAAATGATGACGTACCACCTTGCCACCCAGAGTTTGCTTTCCAACTGAGTTTCTATGACACAGTGACAAATCTGAACTTACAAATTAGGACACTTCGAGGTTATCTGCTATTTACGGCATGCCAGGGGCAGATGCAGCACAGGGAAGTCTGAAAGGTTAGGCATGTCGTATTTAACAGCAGAAAGGTGGGAAGCCAACCGTGAACAGGCTATTCAGTGCATTTAGCAATTTCCTCCGGCTAGGTTTTGTCAGATGGTGTCCTGAAGGGCACCGGATGTGCATGGAACAGGTATAGAGCTGGAGAGACAAGGCAAGCATCCTAGGCTGGAGACATCGCCCAGAGCATAGGGACCTCTCCCACCCCGCCCATGCCTGACTCACAGCTCCTTCATTCCCTAAATGATGTTGAAGGAATGGCTGGCAAGTGAGTCACCTGGAGCCTGGAGCCAGGTCAGATTCGCTGCCTGCTACCAGGTCAACCTCGCCAGGGTCAATGCGTGTGACTTATCGTAACTTTTGAAGTGAGATGCCATTTATAAGTCTGAAGCTTTTACTTAGAGATTTTTGCTTCCTTGTGGGGGGAGATAATTGGAAGACCCTGCCACTCTGGGCTACCTCCTTGCCCCATTTACCCAAGCCAGTCATGGCGGCCTCCTTTAACCAGGCCAAGAGCCCTAGTTGCCCCCACACCCTCCCTCCTCGTTCCCCACCACCAGGTGGCCTCCCTCCTTACAGTGGCTGTTTGCCAGGAAGCATTGGATTTGCCACATCCAGACCTAAGAGCACAGCCACAAATGACTTTCACCAAGGAGAACCTGAGCCCTTCTGGTTCACAGTCCCATCCTGCCTATTTTGTGCTGACACAAACCAGAGCTTGGCTCAGCCTGCGTGGACCCAGCATCACCTGTCACCCACCTTAACACTGTTGCGTGTGGTCATTCATGCTGGCTGCAGGACAGAGCATGGATTCCTGTCCCTTCCTCTGTCATGGCTGTCTCTGCAACCTATGACTCTTCTCACTCACTCTACACTTCTCCTGACTCCATGGAAGCGCAGAGGTGGCTTCAGGGTCTCGTGTACAAGTCACATGTGTGTCTTGGCTTCCTTCTCTGAGAGCCACACTCACAGGGAACTTTGCTCTGGGCATCTCCCCTGCCAGGTTGCAGCCCAGGCTGCTGCAACAATCTCTCCTCTTCCTCTGTCCTCACCCAGACACAAGGCCCACGGTAGAGACGATAGGACCCACCACAAAGAGCGAGGAGACTACCACCCCATATCCCATCGACGAGGCCACGGAGTGTGGAGAGAACTGCAGCTTTGAAGATGGTGAGCATGGGGATTAGAGTTTTTTGCATCTGGGGAGGTGGGGACCACAGTACAGGCTAATTGAGGTCTTTCAGGTCAGAAGTCGGGGAGATCTCAGGATGGGGTCAAGGAGGTGCGGGCACTCAGGCTGGGGGCAGTAGCTGTTTGCAACCTATAAGCATTCAGCTGTTAACAACCGGTGCAGCCCACAGTGTGACCCCTCTGGTCCTTGGATGGATGAGCATGCCTCCAGGGAGGCCTCCTCCTTTGAAACATCTCACTGCTATTCCTGTGCTACCTTGCTTCTCCTCTTAAAGGAAAGCCTCTCCTATCCTTAGAATCCACAGTTATGATTGCTTCTCCTGTGAAGCTGGGTCACTAAGACTGTGCATGTGAAGTCTGGGCCACCTGGGTGACCGTGTCTATGGAGTGCGATCTCAGGCTCATCATGACTGACCATGGTTGACTTAACTGTTTCCCTGTGTCTCTCACCTCTGCTGATATGAGAAAGTGTGAAAGTGGCTTATGCCTGTAATCCCAGCTCTTTGGGAGACTGAGGCAGGAGGATTGCTTGAGACTAGGAGTTCAAGAAAGTGTGATGGTGGTGATTCTGTAGGATAGAGGGTCCCACCCTCTGTGACTTTTGCTGCAGAACTCATTCCTTTGGACTGTTGTTTAGATAGAAGCCCCACTCCCCTCCCCAACAAGCTAATGATACAAAGCCAGTGCTATACATTAACTCTGTTCCTCCAAAACTCAGGGCTCCATGTTTTTGGATCAGTCCCACCATGTGAGAAAGCTGTGTTCCCCTCTCTGTGTCTCCAGAGCATGGCCAAGTTAGATGAAAATGGCCACTGGCAGAGTCCAGAAGTAAGTTACATTTTAAATCACGCTGCTCAGGTTCCCAAGAATTCCTAAGAAACCACAAATTCTAAAACACCTGGCATTTTGGCTAGACTTTTAAGCTTGACAGCCTCAATTTACAGTAAGTTACTGGTGGTTAATAAATGTTCATTAGACAAAATGAGGGGAGGGCAGTGAGAGGCTCAAAGTGATGGAGACTAAATATGGAGGCCGATGGTGAGGGCTGTCGGGCTGCACGTTGAAGCCGTCTGACATCTGTCGGCGTAAGGAGCTGCACTGGTTGCTCGATGGCTCCAAAAAATGGCTATGAGGAAGGACGGGAGAAAAGCCAAAAATAAACGCTGGAGTTGTGTGACTGAAAAATGATAATTCAACGCATATGCTTCTGGGAATGTGCTTTCGTCTATTGTGTGGGTGGGGGACGCTGGTGGTCAGAGTTAGCTGAATACAGAATTCTAACATTTTAATGAACTTGTTTTTGTTTTATGAAGAGATGAAGGAGACTTGGAGAATCTTCCAAGACGTGTTTCCAATAGTTTGGGAGCCAAGATTGGGGGCACAGGGGGTTAATACATGATGCTGGCTTTGCCGAGTTAGCTTTTTGGGGGGGGCAGGGAGGGTTTCCATCTAAACGACAGCTCAAAGGAAAAATTACGGGTTCTGCTGCAAAATTTCAAAAGTTTATTTTAATACAGTTTTCCCGTTTATAGTGGTTTGTTGCATTTGCGGCTTCTTTGATGATTCCTCCCTTCCCGCTTTTTGTGGAATTTGGTTCCTGAGATACAGTCTGCATGTAAACATGAGAGAGGAATTATGGCATATTGAGTTACTTCATATTTTTGAAGAGAAAAATAGAAATTCAGAAACTGTTGGGAGAAGAGGCTGGGGAGGGCTGGTCTGACTTTTCGAAGCCTCAGCTTGGTGCTTCTGTAACTGGCTCCATGTGTCACTCCTAGTCATGGCTTACTTGGCCGGACTGGACAAACACTGACTCTCCCCTCTGCTAGGGGTGGTAGAGTGGGGCAGCACCCTGCCTCTGCCTCTGAGGCCAGCAGTGCCCTGTCCCCTGGGGGAGCCCTCCTGGCCCACGGTAAGCAATTTGTTTCCACCAGTCTATTGTTTCCTTCAGATTCCTACTGCACACCCTGAGCCTTCCCTGCACAGATGTCTCCCAGGAACCCCAGGAGGGGAATCAGGAGGCTGAGCCCAAACCCGGGTCTTCCCATTTCCTTCTTTTCTGCCTCCACCCTGCCCCACTGAGTCACACATTTGACACCAACTCTTACTGGATTTTGGCATCAGGTAGATCCTTAAGAGGAGCTCCCTTGGCCCAGGCTCCAGGTGAATGCCCAGGCTCCATGGTGTGACCTCTTCCTAGCTGTCCATGTGGGAGCACCCTGCCCTCCCTGGGGTCCTTCCAGGATGGGCACGATGTGGGAATAGTCTTCCTCCTGGTCAGCACCAAGCGGGGCACCCAGGTGGTCTGGCCCCAACCTACTAGGTTTCCCGCCAGGCAAGATCTCCCCAGGGGTATGACCAGCTGTCCCAGTCTTTGGCACAAGAGGCAGATCACAAGAGGTGACAGGAGCACATAGGTCTTCCCCGTTTCTGAGGTTGCTCCCTCCACCAGCCGAGCTTCCAGTGATTCGGCCTCTCTGGATGCTAATGGGTGGCCCCTCTCCTCCTTGCACCAGACTGGCAGGAGATGAGATAACACTGTTCCTGGGAGCCAACCTTCCACAGAGGCACTGGGGAGACATTCTTCTCTGGCGTTTAGGGAACAGCAGTTTCCACATTTGCCTGCTCTCCGAGGTGGACAGAAGAGGCTGATTAGAGCCTGAAGCCATTTGGTGGCCTCATTTGTAATTGCTTACTATGGGAACTGCTGCGGACTTGGCTTTCATGCCTGGGAAGGATGAGACCAGAGGCTGACCCGAGAGCCAACCACGGCCAAGATGAGCTCAGTGAATGGGCGAGGGAACCGCGGCTTTCTCCGCACTCCATGAGGGCTTGCCAGCCGTCTAAATAGACCGCTGTGGTGTTCTCTGGGCCCGTCTCATTTGCCTTCCTGTGGGCTATTTTTCTCTCATAGACAAAGACCTGCAGCTCCCTTCAGGATTCAATTGCAACTTTGATTTCCCGGAGGAGCCCTGTGGCTGGGTATATGACCATGCCAAGTGGCTCCGGAGCACCTGGGCCAGCAGCTCCAGCCCAGACGACAGGACATTTCCAGGTAAGCCAGCCATGGTGCAGAGAAAAAAAGGGTTAAGGCTCGCCCACTCACATTCTTAGCCCAGGTTCCCTGGCACGCCCTTGACTCCCCATGGCAAAGCTAGCCTCTGCTCTTCACAACAAACCACCACAGTCTTTGTTCAAGACGTCACCCCACAGAATAGCTGGGTGGGGGTTCCCAGCCTTTCCTATGAGTCCAGCACAGCTAGAAAGCGAGGAAGGAGAGAGGGAGGCCAAGGCAAGAGTAAGGAGAGAAAGGAAGCAGGAGCGGTGGTGAGGCCCTGGGCATGGGACACGCTGACACCCTCTTGTTCCTGTCCCAGCACTGGCTGCTACATTCCAGAACCTCTTGTCAACCTCTAGCTGGGATCTGGAGAGACCACTGGCCTCAAATCAGATGGGCACTGCTCTGAGGGTGCCATTGATTCTGTAGCAAACCAAGTTGAAGGGCCAAGTGCTGCCACACCCATGGGTGTCCAGCAGAGCAAAGCCCAGGCACGCAGTCTTAGAGAGGATATCTATACCTCGTTAAGCCCGCCCTTGTGGTTTCAGAAGGCTGGTTCAGAAGCCTCTGCCAGCCCTGCAGCCAGAGAGGGCTGCCTTGGGCCCTCCTGAGCAGCTGGAAACAAGAGTTGTCAGCTCTCTCTACTGTCACATGCTTTAATGGCAGCAACTGGTAAACATGTAACAATAGGTTTTCCTGCTGGAAAAAAAAACAACAACCTGCTTTGTGATGTTTGCGGTTCTCAGTGGTGTAAATACTCTGGCCACGGTCAAGTTAAACTACAAACACGTCATTGAGGTGGCATCACAAAGTGCAGTGATGGGGCATCATAGTGCATGTGTCCGTCATGCAGACACCACAGATTATAATGATCTCGGGAGCATGGGCACCAGTGAAACCTTACGGGAACTAGGAAGTGTTGTGTCCAGTGTCTGTTACCTTAGGTTTTACCACAGTTGATTGAATGATGACTTTCTATGATTTAATTTTTAATAAGGGTTATATTTAACCATTGACTTGCAAAATTCCAGAAAGCTCACCAAGTGTACTCACAAGCTGGGATGCACTGGCTCTAGCACAATACTCAGTAGCTACTAAGTCCCCTACCCCTGACCTGGATCTTAGACCCCAGAATGTGTTTGAGAGGAAAGGGATTAGTTTTGGAAATTCTGTTGATCAGTGTTGCCAAGGTGCAATAGGAGAAGGTTAGAAGACTAAGGGGGCACACGACCTTCCTCCTGCAGGCTTCCTCAGCTTTGCCTGGTGGCCTGTGCCCTAAGATGGGCCATGTCCCTGTCCCCAGGTTGTGAGGGTGGTGGGAGGACAGAGGCCGGGAGAGCACTTGGACAGCCTCCTGACACAGCCGCCCTCGCTTTCTCAGAGGGTCGCAGCGTCTGCTCTGAAGAAAAACATTTTCATATTTCAAGTGTTTATCTCGTCAGTGTTTGAGTGCTCGGACAGATTAATATCTGGAGATCGCAGCAGCCCCGGGCAGCGGGGGTGAGCACTGACCCGCCCCAGTCTTAATCACCCTCCCCCTCCGTGAGCTGCAATAATGTTTAATTAACATAATGAGCCTCCTGCACGTCGGAAAAAAATACTTATTTTTATAACCCAGGCTGGATTTTTCATTTCATTTCCTCTCCTCTGAGACCAGGTCCAATTAATTCATGGCTGTTCCCCACCCCCACTTCTTATCTGAATGTAAAGAAGGTTTGTGCAGTCTATGTGTGTGTATGCATGGTGTTTGTATATGTGTGTGTTTGTGACTCTGGGCAGAGGCCCTCTTGAGTAAGGGGGGTAGCCAGGTCCCCCACAGGCTGAGGAGGGGACTGGCTCCCTCCCAGTGTTGCCCCAGATCCCTTTTAGTCGTGCTGACCTCCTCCCGTGCACCCTTCTAAGCAGACCTCCCCTGGGGGTGTCGGGGACCAGCCCTGTCCAGGCCAAAGGCCACCAATGAGCAAGTCAGTTCTAGAGAGCTGGAGTGACCTCCCTGTGACCTCAGTCCCTTTGCCTGTCCCCTGCCTCCTCCTAATCCTCCTGGCCTTCACCCACATTCCTCATAGCTGCCCCCTGCTACTGACTGGGAACCCCGATCTTCATCCTCCATCCAACTGAGCCTTCACACCCACAGGCTGGGAGCACTTCATGCTGTGGGCAGAGTTCCAGCCTTTGAATGGATGGGGCCAGGGAGAAAATCAGGGAACTATCAGAAAAGTTAGCAACTGCTAGATGTCATGTTCCTCCCTGAAGAAATAGGGAGAAGAAAGGCAGTGGTCTTCCTCTTCCAGAGAAGCCCCTGAAGTTTGGGGGAGTGGCACTTGTAACCTGCCTCCAGGCCCAGAATCACAGTGTTGTTTCCGAGTCTTTCCCTCCCTGCATTTCCTATGTTCCTTTTCTTTGCAAAATGTGACACGGCTTTAAGCAGGAGAGGATAAAAAGCCCTTTCTGTTCAGGGTGGTCCTTTCTTAAAAAAAAAAAGAAAAAAAACAGGCCCTGAGGGGAGCAGTGGAAGAAAGGAAGCAGCTGGCCTGGTCAGGGGCAGGGTGAGGGCTAATGGGATCAGCTCTGCACCCACAGAGCCAGGCCAGAGCCGGCCAAGCCCCTCCCCACACCATCCCACACAGAGGGGCCCATCCACTCTTCACGAGTGATGCCACTTCATCCCTGGGAGATAACAGGAATTAAGTGTAAGGAGGGAGGTGTCCCTGTCAAGGGTGGGAAGGGAGAGGGAGGGCGGAGGGAAGGACGAAGCAGCCATGTTGAAACACTGGCCCAGGCCATTTGATCAGCAGTGTCTGTGGAAATGACTGACATTCCTTAGATATTTTATAATTTTGTTTTCTTGTGTTTTCTTTCTTCCTCTCCCCCCACCCCCCCACCCTACTTCCCCCTTTTCCTTTTCCTCTAAAGTAAGCAATTAGTTCTATTCTTTTGGCTAGTAGTAATGGTTGCTTAAGGCTGACAAGACACCCACTGGTTTCATTCCACTGTTTTTGTTTTTCAAGATAGCCTTTCAAGCCACTCAGAATTGCTTTTTGTAGCTCTTTACTTGTGGCTTAGCTGCCTGGAGTGTGTTCAGACCAGCCCCTGGGGACCCTGTTCCAAATTCAGTAACCCCTGCTGGCTGCAGAGGAACGCATCTCCATCCTCTGAGACTTGGCCTCTCCTCTGTCACAACAATGACACAGTGTCCCCCTTCGTAGGAGTTGGCATGTTGTCTACAGACATTTTCAGGTATTTTGATCATAAATAGTTTTGAGAACCATCAGATTCAGATCTTTAAGGACTGAGGCAGAAATTCCTTGAGATCATAGGGTGGGCTGGTGTCTAGGATTGCAGTGTTTAATATCGTGGCCACAAGTCACATGTGGCAATTTAAATTTCAATTAATTAAAACTAATACAGCTGGTCGGGCTCAGTGGCTCAGCCTGTAATCCTAGCACTTTGGGAGGCCGAGATGAGTGAATGGCCTGAGCCTGCGGGTTCGAGACCAGCCCGGGCAACATGGCGAGACCTCGTCTCTACAATAAAATCAAAAATTAGCTAGGCATGGTAGTGTGCGCCTGTAGTTCTGGCTACTTGGAAGGCTGAGGCAGAAGATCACCAGAGCCCAGCAGGTCAACGCTTCGGTGGCTATTAGTGTGCCACTGTACTCCAGCCTGGGCAATGGAGTGAGACTCCAACTCAAAAAAAAAACGAATACAGCTAAAACGTTGGTTGTACCATCCACCAGCCATACTTTAAGAGCACAATAACCACACTGTGTTGGTCAGTGCACATGGAATGCCTGACAGAACAGAATGCCATGTGGGACAACATGGCTCTCGTGCCTCTGGCATTCACATGATAGCCACCTCTGGGGCCCTCGTAGATGCTTTTGCTCCTTGTTTTTGGTATAAACCATGAAGCAGATGATTAGAGGGATTTGTCTCTGTGATCCTTGATGGAAGTGTTTGGTGGCTGGTATTTTTACCACAGTATCCTCTGCCTCCCTGGGCAACCAAAGTAAAGGAAGCAAGTGGCATGGCATTTACTGGTGCAGAAGTGATCTTGATCTCTTCCATCAGGAAGAGCGTCATATGTGGATACTAAGTGAGGCCAATAGTATTCATACTTGCATTTGTTGTTGTAGTCATTGTTATTGTCATGAATGAGACAAGGAGACTGGAGATGAGGGTGCTGGGCCAGGCCAGCATGAGAATCCTCAAGTGCATGTCTCCCTTCATGTATGCTCTTTTGTTCATTGCTTGGCCTTATGATATCTGATGATGGTGTTACCTCCTTTCAATAACTTCCACTCATGCAAGTGGCATGAAGAACACAGGCAATGCTGATGTTGAATAGCACACTCCTATTGAAAGACAGAGCTTTGGCTGCCTAACTTACGTGCTTATGGGACTGAGCGAACAGAACCTCTACCCTGGGCTCAAAAATAGGCTCAAGAATCCTCAAGTTCTGAAATGCTCAGATTTTACAAATGGTAGCAGTTCCTTCAAATGTAAGTGATACGACTAGTAACTCTTCACTGGGCCTATTGTTTGTTTGTTTTAAATTTTTATTTTAAAGATGTGGAGTACAATTTAGGGTTAAGTATACAAATGTTCATTATGCAGGTACCCTTGTTGATGAGGTGTGCCCTCCCCCGTTTGTTTTTTGAGTCGGGGTCTCACTCTGTCACCCAGACTGGAATGCAGTGATACAATCATGACTCACCACAGCCTCAACCTCCGGGGCTCAGGCCATCCTTCCACCTCAGCCTCTTCAGGAGTTAATACTGCAGGCACATGCCACCACGCCTTTTTTAAAATTTTTTTTGTAGAGACAAAGTTTTCTGTGTTTCCCAGGCTGGTCTCAAACTTCTGGGCTCAAGGAATCCTCCTGTCTCAACCTCCCAAAGTACTGGGGTTACAGACATGAGCTACCATGCCCAGCCTAATAGGACTGTTTTGAGGTAGACTGGGCCATTAAATAAACTCATTCAAGTGGGAGTCCAA